ATCTGAATTAACTAAAGGTATGAATTTGAAGTGGGTTGGTTAAACCACATTAAAATCCTGTGTGGTTGCTGTTATTCAGAATTAAAGTCGGCTTAACTTGGTTTTTCTTAATTAATTTCCAAATTCACGGTGAATTAAGATAAACCAAATTCACTTCCAAAGTGAATTAGGATAAACTGAATTAAAACCACTGTAATTCTCAATTAGAACGTCCATACAGAGATTCAATGTTGTTTGTTTAATCCACATCAAAATTCATACTTTTCGTTAATCTGGATTAGTTTTCATGGATGTCCTTGTGTAGACAAACCCTTAGAAAGCTGAGGAATGATGGCAAAAACCTCAGCATAATATGCGTAGATGTTGGCCAACTGTACACTGTGGGGCCTGTTGATTTGAACAAGGAACTCCAGTGTTGAGGTAGAAGTTAGGATGCAGAAAATCTTGCACCTGCTCATGACAGGGGTGTAAGCTTTTCTAACCCTGATCCATGTCATGTGACAAGTTGGGGCCAGAGAATAGAGAGCATTTTCTTACCAGCGCTCCTGTGTTGGTTAGGTTAGTTCTCATTGGACAGCACAGAGACCATTGAATGCATGATGCTCTGTTCTGAGCCAAATCTGGCACATTATGGGATAGGGTGCCTGTGTGGGTCAGGGATCTGATGCCATCCAGGCATTGTGTTTTAGGTGTTGAATTCCTGTGTGCCACACCCTTATTACATGGTGTCAGAAGAAACTGAATCTTTGGTAAAAGTGGAGCAAATGAAGTCACCTGAATCCCACAGAAAGGAAGGGAACCTGGCAAACTGGAAAATGTGGTTGCTGCTTTTCCAAATGTTCCTGGAAGCAAGTGTTATTGGAGAGAAATCAGGAGGGTCAAATATTCCATATAGTTGCTTTGGCCACATGAAGCAAACTTGAGAACAAGAAGCAACTGTGTAATCAGAAAGCCACTGAGGTACAGTGTAGGGTTGCCAGGTGTCCAGTTTTCAACTGGAAAGTCCGGTTGAAAGGGGACCAGTACAGTGTCCAGTCACATGTACTGACCAGACACCAAAAGTCCAGTTACCACGGGTGGAGGGGCCAAAGAGGGAGGTGCTGGGTCATCAATCAATGCCAGCCCCTGCTGAGCTGGGACTACCTCCTACCTACATCTCGTGGGCAGGCAGGCTAGTCCTGGAGCAGAGGCAGGCTAGTCCAGCTGGTGGGAGGGAGGTGGACAGGATCAAGCAAGGAGGGAAGGGGCGAGAGAGGCGAGAGAGCAATGGGGGCAGAGCCTTGGGGGAAGAGGCGGGGCAGGGGTCAGGCCTCGGGGGAAGAAGTAGGGAGGGGGGAGGTTCCGGCTCTCCTGCTGTAGTGTCCAGTTTTCAGAAATTAGAAAATTAGTACCGTATTATGATGATGGCTGGAACCAACAGATGTCCAGTAATGGAGGGTACTGGACATCTGTTGATACCCGACTGTCCTGATATCTCTATTTGTTCTTACTTTTGGCTAATTTTTTTTTATTTGCATTTACCTTTTTTGTAAAGTTTCATGGCTCCTTTAAAGTTTTGGTTTTGTTTTGGCAGCCTCAGGCACAATGACAGTGGGGTTAATAATGCCAGTTGTGGGGAACTTGGGAGAAGAAAGACTAAGAAGAAATAAGACTTATGGGTAGGTGTGTGGAGGGAAGAGAGAAAGGGGTGTGTTTCCTGGAAACATTTGTCCAGGAGCCCCCCACAAGCCATGGCACACATTCCCAGGCATGGCCCTTTGCAATGTCATGGTAACTGCCTCTTTCTTTGAGCCAGCCCCAGGATTCTGGGGGATGTCTGAGGTAAAATGATTGCAAGTGGCTAAACAGGCTGAACAAATTTAATTAAAATAGAAAATCTGTTTAGCCTAATTCTCCCCTATCCCTGTTTAATAAAATTATTTGGCATTACCCATGATTTAATATAATATAATATAATTATATTATTATAACCTGGAGAAGAATCAGGCCCTATTTCTTCATTGCCTTTGCGCCTCAAGCCTCTTTGCTCAGAGGCAGCTCTACCACTCACTAGGGCAGCAGCACATACAAATATTTGGCTACTATCCAACCTGCAAAATGCTTTATAATTAAAAAGTCCCAATGAAATGAAATGGCTGCACAGTAAATCAAGGACCCGCTCTTCTAAATGAGATGTGGAATTCTTAAGGTCCAAACAGACTTACCTCTGGAATTTTCTAAAGAGATTCCTGTAAATGTTTGCATTCATTCATTAATTATCTGAGATCAAATACAACTGTGGTTGGTAGGATATTTGTTTAAGTAACATGAAAAGATGACTGCAATAAAGAGGATTACATTGAAGGATGATTGTAGAATAGCTGACCTATGTTTTTTCAGATGCTGGGATGAAATGCTTTGGCATAATTGAAATGGCTGTCAGCCCCTCCGACACCTAAGCCTCAGTGATTTTGGATTGCTGGACGTCCAAAGATGGCTGTGGCTTTGTCTAGCCACTAAGTCATTTTTCATAACTTCATTTCTGATGCTGTGTAGGTGTCTTTATTTTTAAATAATTTACCAGCCCCATTGAAGAAGACAACATTGACATATATTCATCAGTGCTATAACTCACTATTTGTGGATCAGAATTGGACTGCAGAATAGGTACTTCAGTGAGGCATTCCTTTACTACAGATGACTGCTACAGAATTCAATTTACAATTACCCTGAATGAATGGTTGTCAGATATGCTCTGTACACTGGCTTTCTGATTAGGTGAATTGCTGACAGTCAGCAAAGTGGTGGGTACTCTGGAGTCTCTTGTTTGAACCCTTCCATTTGAAAATCCTGTATTCTGAAGAAGGATTTGACAATGCTGTGTGACAGGCTTTGTCTATTTTGGGGGGTGTCTTGCAGTGTTGTCAGGGTTAAGAGAAAAGGGCACAGCTGAGCTATTTAAAATAATCATAAGCTAGTAAGCTTTTCTATATGTGATATGCGGGCAGCCTAATTAAAGAATAAAGTTTCTTGCTTGATCTTGGCAGATGATGACTCCATGATACATTGCAGCGTCATTGAGAATCGGCAGTAATTTTAAAATTACACATATGGGATGCACAGGGATACAAAGTGTTGGTTTAATACAATTAAGGTTCATTGCTGTGGTTAGGCAAATGTAATGAAACATAAAGTAATACAGAATATTACTTTTTGTATTTTCTAATTATCTTTCCTCTGGTCTGATGGGCCAAAATTATATTCTCAAGGTTCAAAAAAATCCTCTGGGTTAGATTTCTGTGATCTGAACAAACACCTATTGGTTGAAGAGAGGCTTGCTCAAACAGTCTCCCTTAATAAGCTGAGCCAATGGGCGCTTGTATCTGATAGTGAAGTTTCCTCCTTCTCCCTACCCAGACTGAATTGGCAGCAAACCTGTAGTAAGATACTAGCAACAGAATAAACAGCTGATGTGATTGGAACATGCCTGGAGCTGGAGCCAGGAGTTTGTGCAATAGATCACTCTCTTAATCGTTAGTTTCCTGAGAAGTCTTGGGTCATGATTCTTTCTCTTGATTTTATAAGTCATGTTGTACCTATTAGAACTAAACAATTTGTGGTGTTTTTTTTTAAATTAAACACTCTTTTTTAAGATGCCTCCTAGCTTTTATGTTTCTATACCAAACACCAACAAAATGCAATAGAACACAATGGCCTTTAGATTGTGCTGTCTTTAAACAATGTGAAATCTTTAATATATTTTAGCGAATTAAGATCTGATTTTGCAGTTTTTTGCATCAGTATAAATCCAAAAGTAACTCTATTGAATTCAGTAGTATTACACCACAGGGAGTGAGATCCAAACTGTCTCAATTTTGCATAGTGCCTGTACATCTATGGCACTATATAAATAATGCAAATGGCCTGGAATTGTAGTGTCTTCATTCATAATCTCCAGGGCACAGCAACCTACATTCTGAAATGTTGCATAAATGCTGTACCAATGTACTAATTACTTTGATAATCAAACCGAATGGCTAAAATTTCTGTTTGCAAAAGATTTGTTGGTTAGGAACAAAGCTAGAGATAGTTATATAAAAGCATGCTCCAAACTGTTGGAGATGACTGATGTTGACCCCGCATTAACCAAGCTAACAGCTGTGCAAGGAACCAGAGGTTCTTCCAATTTTACCTCTGTAGAGTTGCCATGGTAACTGGTGTAAGACGAACTAATATGGACTGGCAGTGAGTGAAAGGAAATTTTATTTAAGTGATCTAAATCTAAAATGTAACAGCCAGCACCATGCAAGAGTTGTGGACTAGCACTTCAGCCTACTTGGCTAATGAGTTTATCTTACTTTGCAAATAGATTGTCAGATAACAAAACATATTTCTTGTTACTGGGTTTTCTCTCTAGACTGAGAACCTTATTTTTCAATGGGATTTAATCTATGTGTTAAATTTTTTTTGAGTTTTGGTAACATGGGTGAGTAACACAGACAGCACGGTGCTCTCTTGGAAAACAGCCACCTCTTCTAGAAAACTAGTAAGATGACATATTTCAGTGCTTGTTTTCGGTCTTGCACAGAAGACCAAAGCGCCTCTTTCTGGATGAGATCCAGTAACATTGTTTAACAGTTTGGATAAGATAAATTCATGTCCATAGAAGCCAAGACAGCTGCATTGTAAATTAGGACTGGGGACTAACTCAGCTCTTCCTGCTGTGAAAGTCATTCAAACTGATTGGACCTTGTGGTTTGGGAGCTGAGGGGAATTTGTGATAATTTCCGTCTCTCCCCTCTATCCCCCCCCCAAAAAAATAAAACAGGAAAGTTTTGCAAAATGGAGATGTTTACAGAAGATTTACAACTGCCCCATGTTCCAACCCCACAAGGCCTGCTCTCTCCAACGGTTCAGGAAACTAGTCTATTAATATCCAGATCAGAACAGCTCTGAAAATGCTCTATTGTTTTTATTTTAGCTCATATATCTGTATTTATTTTTATTCTCTCTCTGTGTAGGTGATTCTGATCCTTACCAAGTATTACCATACTGACATGGGGAAGGTGCTGGAGAGTTCTTTGTGGAGGTAAGTACTCAACCTTTTCCTATAGTCCTTGTTCCGTGCTGACCAAAGTAGGACTGCTTCTTGCTTTCTTTTATCTTTTGAGGTTTCCTAATGGGTTGAATTGCTGAATCTGTGCCAGATATAAGGTTGCCCAGACTTGCATCTTTTTTATGGACTGTGGTTGAGTGAAGAAGAACTTGAAAGGGGATTAACGATTTGTGAAGTGGAAATAACCAACATTAAAGGATAAGGTATCTTTCTGAGGCCACATTTGAAAGAAAAACAGAATTCTAATTGTAAGTTGGCGTCAGGACCCAATTCTCCTCCTCCTCCGTTTTTTAACCTTAGAAGTTTTGCACCAAAGTTAAGGGTACTTAATGTAGTCATTATTTTAATTGCTAGTAGCTTTTGCAGTTCAGCTCTGTATTTAGGTTAGTAAATTATCTGTAGGTGCGGTGTATCTTTCTGGTTGTAACTTGGAGCCTGTCCAGGTTGTGTTGCATCTTCTGATGTTTGGAAACTTGTAGTATTTCAAATGTAACTTTTAAAATAATTTTTCATTTAATCAAGATTTACCAATGAGTATGTCAACTTTGTCTCTTGCGCACGTGCACGTGCACACTCTGACATGTGCATACAGAGACTTTTTTAGGGTTTCAGACACAGATACGGAACCAGTTAAATTCTCTGTTACACCAGTACAACCCCATTTATCATGGTCAATATTTTCCCTTTTAAAGGCACCAGCGACAGATGCAGGATTATTAATTTTCCATGCTGTTTTCTGCTGAAGTGCTGGGTTTTTTTCCAGGTGAACTGTCAAATATCCAGTTGAAGTGATGGGTGCACTTTAATGTGTGTATTTATGTGTGTATTTAAAAAAAAATCTACTTCCTATTGGAAAATCTTTCATTTAAGTGCTTTGGTACTGAATAACAAGCCACATATTGTACATTCAAAGTCATGGAAATATGTTTGTCCTGTGTTTCTACATATGCTTTGTACACCCTGCTGTTCCATTCACCAAGATGAGTTTTCAACAGAATACTCATGTCATGTGCATAGATCACATGCATTTTAAATATAGAAGTGTTTCCTGTATTACTGATAATCAGGGACCCCAGAAATCCATTTGTCATGGGAAAACATGGAATTTGTGTTTTTTATAGAGAATCTTTAGTTTTTACACTTTGTGAAAAAATAAACACATATATTAACAAAATTTTACTGAAAGTATCAGAGTCACTTATTCAATGTGCGCAACCTCCCTCTCTTGTGGTTGATTTTTGAATGTGCTTTAAATTTACATAGCTAAACATCCTCCAGTAATCTGCTTCCGGCATATAGAGGTTACTCAACGGTATAGGAATTCATGTTTTAATGCATCTCAAATTTCACTTCGGCTTCCAAGACTAACTCAAAGTGAATAATGTTAATATAAAAGCAATTTTTGCTTTATTTTTTGTGCATTTAAATCCCCCCCCCCCGAAAATATAGAATACAGACATAGAATTATTTGGTACATGTAAGAAATGGAAATTGCAATTCTATTAATTTTATTTTATTATTATGATTGATGGAACTGATAGGCTTTGAACTTGCTTAAAAATGGTAAATGTATCAATAAAACACTGTTCAACTGATATCTATATATATATTATATATATGATGGCTAGGGAAACTAAAGTTCAGCATTTCATTGCAATTGCAGAAAAACATGGATTTTTATGGTTGTTTTTTTTTATCAGAGAATTTTGTTTTTTTATCATGGAAAATTAGGACCCCTGCTGATAATGTAGGAACAATGCTATTTTTAATCTCTAGCTGGAGACATTTTCCTGAACCTTACTAGATAACTTGATAGTCAACACAAACAATGAGGGAAGGAAACATAAAATGTCAAGAAATGTGAATTTCTGACACAGCCTGAGGACTTTGGTTGCAGAAATCTGCAACCAGAGAATATAGTATCTTCATTAGGGACAGGTATGGAACCCAGATTGTTGCAAACTCTAACCACCGGGGGAGGGATAACTTAGTGGTTTGAGCATTGGCCTGCTAAACCCAGGGTTGTGAGTTCAATCCTTGAGGGGGCCACTTGGGGATGTGGGGCAAAATCAGTACTTGGTCCTGCTAGTGAAGGCAGGGGGCTGGACTCGATGACCTTTCAAGGTCCCTTCCAGTTCTAGGAGATGGGATATCTCCATTAATTTTTAATTTCACCTAAAAATCTCTATGGAGTATTCCTCATCTTATGTAGCTCATGCAAGGGGAAGCCACAATTGCAGTCCTTGAACTCAGGGGAATGCAGGGCTTGCACCTTATATATGGCCTCACAGGTGCATGGCACCCCAAAAGGAGTCAGAAGAAGGCAAGATCTATGGTCTGGCCTGGCTCCACACCCACTTGTGAAGTAGGCTGGCTGTGCTGGTTGGAGGAGTCTGTGTCTTCTTAATCTGCCCAGGTTTCCCATAGAGTGGAGTAGCCCTGCACCACCCAATATTTGTTCCAGTGGCTAAAGAACAGTCTGCCCCAACCTCTTGCTCCAATACTGTACCTATTGCATAAGGGTAAATAGTACCTCTTTACCTCACACCAGGTATGTGATAACTAGCACCTCTGAATGTGAAAACTGAAGAATGTGAGCCTGATCTGGCCATCTTCTGCAGAGTGGCCTTGGTTCCCACGGACCCTAGTGGGAGTGGAGGGCACTCAGAATCTTTCAGGGTTGGCCCTTTAAGGGCTTTGACAGTTAATTTGGAATTGCCATTTAAAACTCCCTACTTGTGGGATGGGTAATTTTTCTTTTTAATCTTTGCACAACACCTTGATGAGAGAATACAACTAAATGAAAACTGGGATTAGAGCTGTGTGAAATTTTTTGCTTGATTTATTTACTCTCAGAAAAATGAAGAAACTATTTGCAAATTCAGGTTGAAATTGGCAAATCATGTTTTGCCAGCAATGTTTTGGAAAATATTAAAAAAAAAAGTCAAAATTGTTTCTTTGGACACTTTCGAAACAAAACATTTCAAGTCTCATTGGGCAACTCAGGGCTTGTTTATACAGCCAGTTATAGTGTGGCAAGCCAGGGTGTGAATCTGCAGTGTATCAGCACTCCCACACTCCGGGATTTTCACTGCGCTATAGCAGTGTCCATCTGGGACATTACTGTGTGGCAAGCTTGCGTACTGTTGAGTCACACTCTAGCTTACCACACAGTAACTTGCCATGTAGACAAGCCCTTAATTATATATATATTTTTAAAAGTGCACCCTCCTGCTTGAAAAGATAATGAAAGGAGATTAAACCCCCCAAAATTTCAGTTTTGGTTTGACCCCCCCCCCTTTTTATTTTTTTAGATTTTTTGATGTAGCCACTGAATTGAAAAATCAATTATTTAGATGGTCCTAACCACATGTTGTCTTTCTGTTATATACAGTTGGCCCATGTAATGTATGTGTCTAGTTTGCTAACTGTAATTCAGTATAATCATAGACATGTTGGACTGGAAAGGACCGCAGTAGGACATCCCTGACAGGTGTTTGTCCAACCTGTTCTTAAAAACCTCCAATGATGGAGATTCCACAACCTCCCTAGGTAATTTGTTCCAGTGCTTAACTACCCTTATGGTTAGCTAGGACTTAAGGTTTTTCCTAAAGTCTAACCTAAATCTCCCCTGCTGCAATTTAAGCCCTTCTTAAGCCATTACTTCTTATCCTGTCCTCAATGGATAAGAAGAACAATATATCACTCTCCTCTTTATTGCAACATTGTACGTCAGAGGTGGGCAAACTATGGCCTGCGGGACCGTCCTGCCCGGCCCTTGAGCTCCCGGCCGGGGAGGCTAGCCCCCGACCCCTCCCCCCCCGTGCCCCGGCCCCCACAGCCTCAGCTCACCGTGCCACCAGTGCTCTGGGCGGCAGGGCTGCGAGCTCCTGCTGGGCAGTGCGGCGGCAAGAGCCACTGGCCTGCCCCGGTGCTCTAGACTGCACAGCGGCGTGGCTGGCTCCAGCCGGGTGGCGTGGCTGCCAGTACTGGTGCTCTGAGCAGCATGGTAAGGGGGCAGGGGAGTGGGGGGGGGGTTTGGAAAAGAGGCAGGAGGTCCCGAGGGGCAGTCAAGGGACAGGGAGCAGGGGGCAGTTGGAAGGCATGGGAGTCCCTCGGGGCAGTTAGGGGCGGAGGGTCCCGGGAGGGGGTGGTCAGGGCAGGGCCGGCTCCAGGCACCAGCCCACCAAGCTTGTGCTTGGGGCGCTCTGGCCCACCAGGGAAAGCGGAGCCCCGGCCGGGGACTCTGCCCTCCCCCTAGCTGGGGCTGGCCGCCGGGGAGAGCGGAGCCCCGGCCGGGCACTCCACCCTCCTCCCAGGGCTCCGGCCGCCCTCCCCCCGGCCGCCGGGGAAAGCGGAGCCCCGGCCGGGGCTCACTGCCCTCCCCCCGGGG